ACGCTGCAACATTACGCGCAACTTTAAGCCCTAATAAACTACATGGCGACGGTAGCCAAGAAGACGTAAGTCAAAGCTGTTGTCATTCTCTTGCTGTTAGAGAAGAAAAAACGGTAACAAAGATACCATTTAATCAAGAATTGCAAAACAGAGTACATGTATGACTGAGAGAAGCGATTTTTCCAGCATGCTATAAAGTTGATATTTACGTGACAACATTGATGCGCGCAATGTTGCAGAAGCAGAAAGAGGTTCTACTTTGCAACATTTCGCACAATGTTGAACTAATATTGCGCCAAATATTGGACTAACATTGCTCCCAATGTTGGACTAACATTACGCACAATGTTGGATTAACATTGCGCCGAATGTTGGATTACGGTTTAATTCAGTCATAACGCGCAACATCGAGAGCAATGTTGGGCGTAATGTTTCATCGTATGTCCGCGGGCCTTCGCGCTTCATCAAATCTCTTGCATGAAATGATGTTGAACATCGTGTCGAGGAATGACGAAAGCATGCTTCGTTAAACAGTTTCAATTGCATTTGACTATACTTGATGATCGATAGCTGAAAAAGCTCACGGGATAGTTACCTGCTATAAAACCTGGCATATACAGTTATCTTATCGCGAAATAATGTAAGTAAAGCAATGTTAGAGCGTGTCAAGGTCAGGATGGCCGAGCGGTCTAAGGCGCTGCGTTCAGGTCGCAGTCTACTCTTGTAGGCGTGGGTTCGAATCCCACTTCTGACAAATATCATTTTTTTTTAATGACAATGTAAAATCAGTTTTCTTTCCTGACAAAACAGGTAGCACATTGAACTGAAATATTAATTTAGGGCGTACTATAAAAAGTATAGTTTAGCTTCCAAGTTTTTTAAGAAGGAAATGTTCTTTTGGCTCATACCTTTGGTTAATTTTGAAACCAAGAATTGACTAGGCCATCCCATAAAATGCTTTGTTTCCCATCGCCCGACCGACCCAATTTTTTCAAAAGTAAAAAAAAAAAATCCAAGTTTCATATGCTTTGTTTACATCTTAAAGTCAATCTGACATCTAAATCAGCCCAGTAATGACGTCTTCGAACACTTTTCAGAGTGATATCGGCTCGTTGCAAAATGGTGGTCACGGGGAAGATATAATCAAGGCTCGCTTGGAATTATTTATGTATAATATTTCGTTGATCTATATCTGGACTTTTTTTTTTAACCAACCGACCGACCCACTTTCGCGAGAGAGAGGGCGATTGGAAACAAAAAATTTTATGGGGATGGCCCTAGTTTCAATGGACCTGAATGAAACTAGTTATTTGTCTGACGTACCTTTACTGGAGGGGTTAAGGTGCGGAATAACATTGCTGATAAATGTTTTGGTATCACTGAACTCCTTATTTGTCATACTCTGAGATGAATCGATCATGAAGACAATATCCAGGACAGTGGTGCATTCTGGTAAGAAAAACACAAAGTATCTGAGGCATGTGAACACATACTGCGAAGATAGTGCGAAATGCCTTCGGCTTATCTTGACTAGAACATCGAATTCCCACTATAGCAGGTGCCTCTTTTTCATTGTGCGCGAATCAAAGCAGCCCACTGGGTATCTCACGGAACATACAGCTGTTTCGAGAAAGGTTGTCGGAAAAAAGCGCACGCGACAATCCCGAAAGGTATTGTGGGTAGTTTTAAGTTCACGGTTCCTTGACTTCAGCGTTTCAGGAAAATCTGAGAAAATGGCAAGAGACGCCATGGACGTATGTTTGCGAGTGCTAAAAGAAAGAAACAAAAGTAGGCATCGCGGGTTTGATGCATTTATTTGACTTATGAAAATTCATTGATCATATCCCAGATTACCTTTCGGGATTGTCGCGTGCGCTTTTTTCCGACAACCTTTCTCTAAACAGCTGTATACCGATATTTATGCTCACCTCACCTCAGCTCACCTCCACTCTTCATGCTGTTTCACATACAGTGTAAGGCCTTAATATTTAAGCTCACTGCACCGTTTTTGCAGCCACAAATAAGAGGAAGCGACTCTATCGTTCACTGACCTGTACCACATTTTTGGACCGGGTATCTCGTGCGCTTTACACTCCTTGTTCAACTACTAAGAACTATTAAGAAGAGTAAGGGACTCACTAAACCTGGGGTTTCCACTTTCGTTTTATTTCCACTGACTGGGTTGGTTTTTAACTCACATTTCATGATAACGCAGAAAAAAGGCAGGGGTGGGGGGGGGGGGGGGGGGGGGGGGGGGGGTGGGGGGGATAGAGACAGGGCCTGGGACAGAGAACCATGCTCTCACAACTTGCAAAGCAATCAATTTCGTTTTGGTAAGCGGTGTTTTCTTAAGGCTTCTTTTCGCGCGCAAAATTCCTTAAAAAATTAATTAACGTTCCTAAAAACTATTTCGAGATTATTCCAACACGTTCAATTTGTCCAATGTGGCCGAACTTTCCAGGAGCTGAATTCGTGAGTTCAAGCCCAGGACAGAAAAAGGAAAATTAACGTTCTCCATAATACCGTGAATTTGGACACTTGATTTTTTTTGTTTTGGCATACGAAGGCAAAGAAATGTAAATGCCAAACGCACGTGCGTTTTGTTTTGCATGGGACGGCAAAGAAATATATGCAAAACACACGTGCAGAATATTGTATTACTAATTAAACCTATTGTTTTGTGACGTTCTTGTTGTCGTCGCGGTCGTGGTTGCATCTTAAAAACGAAAAACTTGAGGAAGAAGTTTATCTGGTTTAAAGGATCACAAAGTGAAAAACATACAATAATCATTGATACATCAGTACGCACTTCCATCGCCTCATCCGGCCGCCATGTTTTTCTTTTATAGCTTTCCTTCTTGCTTTACACAACTTCTACGCACGTGCAGATTATGAATCCGCTGGCTAAAGTTGCGATGATTGCTTTGCACTCCCCCCCCCCCCCCCCCCCCCCCCTCCCCTGAAAAAAGGTTTGCTCGCAGTTGAACCATTTGCAAAGGGTCCGATTTGTATGCGTTATTCTTTCTTTCATTTTCTTAGTAATTTCCCGCACACAATTCTATTAAAACTAGTAATACGTGACTCGCAGGCCCTCGCGAAGCTTTTGTTGCCTAGTAACGGGCACGCCTGCGATTTGATCTGCAAGGTTTCCAAGAATCGCTGCAAGGTTTCTGAGAATCGCCGGAGGAACGCCGTGTGTTTGCTATGCCACCGGATTTTGGTTTCGATTGGAGTTCGCTCGTCTCTCGATATCTGTAATAAATTGTAGCGCTCTTGTACTGTTTTCCCCACTTTTCCGTCCGAATGATCTGAAACCACCTCGCTTTCGTAGGTAAAATCTTCTTCGCAATATCGGATCGGCGAATTATTTTCAGACACAAGTCTTCGCGTCTACAATGAAAACTAAGCCATATGTTGATCGTACTTTGAGAAATTCCTGAGTCGTCTTTCCTTTCCTGTTGTTGATAATGGATTTAATAAAGCCGGGTTTCTTTCACAAATGACCAGTATATAAATTTGTTCGATAAACAAACTTGGAGTAAAAATTGTTATTCTTCAGCAGCCATTCCTGTTTCTACATTTACGTGTACAAAGATTACGTCGAAGTCAATGTTATTAAGCAAAGAAAAGGGGGTTAAAAAAAAGAACGGCCTGGATTTGAACCGAAAAAAAAAAAAAAAAAAAAAAGAAGGACCATGTCGGATTTGAACTCACGCCCTCAATCCCGAAGATCAGATTTAAAAGTTAGCGCCTTAAGCCATTAGGCCACGAGCCGTGTGACGTCATGTCATCCCCCAACTCCACAAACAAATAAATAAATATGACCGTAAAGGCCACACGAGAATTGCTCTCGCGTCAGCTCTTGGGGGACAGAATTATAAACCCCGCTACGCGAGGCCTTCGGCCTCGCTTCGCGAGGAATTAGTTCTGAGAATTCAGTGATACATCAGGCAATTTAGAAGATGTTCGTCGCTAGTCAACTGATGATGTTCATATTCTCTCCGCCTGCTTGCTTGACAATATACTGACATTGTCAGGGGAAAGTAGAAATTGATCACACTTGGAAATTAAAAAGGTTAAAGCTGGCCTCATTCATAACATAGTTGATTGTTTTTTAACATAAAGTTTTGATTGATTGATTGATTGATTGATTGATTGATTGATTGATTGATTGATTGATTGATTGATTGATTGATTGATTGATTGATTGAATCACAATACTGCAGGACCGGTTGTTCAAAACCGTGGATAAGGCTATCCATCGGATAAATGATTCACAGGATACAAGGTAATTGGTTTTTCCTACCGACTTATCCCCCCGCGTTGGCGAATAGCGTTCCCAGGATGGATAACGCTATTCACCGGATAAATCACTATCCCCTGGATGCAATCTATTCTGTGATAACGTTATCAAACATTTGAATAACCGGTCCAGGTTAGTGATATATCTGAGGGATAGCGTTATCGAGGCTTTGAACAACCAGGCCCAGAACATTAAAAGGAATTCGGCCAGTGATATTACGGTCGTTATGCACGGTATTCTGCAGTATTACTCTTATGTAGTTACATGCTTACCTTGAATGTGTGACGATGTTACAAGAAAGTTGACCTACAGCAACGGTAAAACAGGAATCAAGGAAATTAATTATGACCGCAACACTCGACTTTAACATTGTTTAACTTCATATTTCTCCTCGTTTTCTGATTATTATCATACTTATTTATTATTGTTGAATTTGTTATGTTTCACAAAGTTGATCTATAATCGGAAACCCGTCGGGTATTTTTAAACGATATTGCCATAAACAGTACTAAAAGTCTGACTACAAGCACAAGTGGCTTATCAGGCCGGCGCTTAACCCCAGTTTCAATAGCATGAAGTGACTAGGAGTATCGCTACTCCCCAGATGGGATGCAAGTCTATCCAGCATTTTTGTCAGGTTTCCCTGACAATTTGCCGGTACCCATATACTCCGGGGTGAAGAGAGACAATGTGGGAGTTAAGTACCCAGGGTTCGAACCCGGATCACTCCATCCGGAGTCCATCGCGCTGACCATTAGGCCACCGCGGCTCAAATAAACAGTATTAGTAAACATCTACTAGTGTACTAATGCAAACGAGACAAGCTGATTGGCTGAGCTACTCGTACACTATCAGCCATTAGTGTGCAGTGGCTGGAGGTGTCTACAAAATTGCGGTTTCTTCTCGTTTCTCCGAAGTTTCGGAAGAAGATTTAGAGTTAATACTAGACAATTGTTATGATTTTTACTAAAACAATTAGATTATTCGCTCTCAATTTCTATGATGTAATAGTTGATTCCGTCTACGGCCTCATCAACTATCACATCATAGAAATCTCAAGCTCATAATCTAATTGTTAACTAGTCACTCCCAAATATGCTCCTTACAAAAATTCAGGTCTCCGGCATGCGTAATTCGCCCGCAATAGCCTGGATCATCTTTATACACTGTACTTAGTAGATTATTGTAATAAAACGCACGTTGACAAACGAGAAAGTTAAGAGTTTAGTAGTAATCGGTAATCTATTGAACCTTCGAATATATGTATTTTTATTTCTGCAAGTTTCTCTTTGGTAAAGAGCACGAAAATACCTATTTGAAAGTATAATTGCCGTGCTCGTTACAGAAACTAACCGAATAAATTCTCCATCACTACTAACTCTTAGAATTTTCTCATTTGTCAACAAGACGCCTAAACTATCTTCCTACATTTCCTTTAGTTTAGATTAGCGCTCTTTAGCTGAAGCTTTTTCAACGAAATTCTTAGTTTCACGCGATTAAAAATGTCATTGAGATTTACTAACCTGTACTAAACACAGCAAGGCCCATAACAGCGACAAACTTGCCATATTTTTTGTTCTTCTCAAAATATAACCCGTGTTTATCTTAATGTAACGAAGCTCACAAACCCATTCAAATAGTCATTGATATGCCGTTTTCATTGTTGATCATTTATTTAGCTGCTCAAATGCGTGAAATTGAAACAATAACCAGGAACATATTTCAGCTGTCGTGGAACACAACAATAAAGTAGATAATTCTTCTAGAAAATACTGTATCACGTGTGCAGTGTTACCGTTTACTTGTTCAATGCGTAATGAAATATCTGCCATTTCGTTGTCGTATGCGGTTTATTTGTGAGAACCTTCAATCAATCTTCAACTAGTTTTAACTAATGCATGGCTTGTGAAATATACAGATCAGAACGTGATCAAATAAATCAATTTTCGCACGAACATTTTTGTGTTACTCAATTCTCTTACTCTATAAACACAACAGGAAATTAAAGGCGCTCTGGTCTAATTAAATGAGGTCTTATTGATTTACTTCTGTTTGTACTTTGGTATATTGTAAAATTCTTATCAGTTATAAACTCTTGGCTTTGGGTGCTTATAATATAACATTGTCTCAATGTATTTTACAAACCATAAGAAAATGATTGAAAGAGGAAAAATGAAAGCGTCTGAACTATATAGCTTGGGATTCGATTTAATATACCATTTCAGTAGGCATCTTTTGGAGCAAATATTACGGTTCGATTTATTAGTAATTGCCATTTATTAGGTTTTTACCTGACTACCGCGCTGCCGGCCTACATGTCGTTTGTATAACCCACCATCAGGCCGTATTTTCATTTGTCTTGATAAATTGGTCATTTCTTTTTCAAAAAACACGAAACGAAAAGTATAAGTTTTCTAGCGAACATGTTCGCATCACAAAATATCAGAGCACGTTAAAAATTAGGCCTGATCGAACATATCGCTTTTGTTTTCATTTACAGCTTTCTTTTCTGATCCCGACTCTCAGGCATGTTTGACTAAGCTTGAGCGTTGCGCTCTAGTATATGGCTGAATCACGCTCGACTCAGTTTGGACCTACAATAGGTTGGGCGCTCATCGCAAAATAGGCGCGCGCTGCTACCGTTTGTTTGCGTACCTTTACGTAACCATGGTTATAGTTTCAATTGGCGCCTTGCCGACAACACAAACCAGCCTGTATTGCCGCAAACGTCATCCAAAAACCGGAATTGTAATCTCATTGTTACTTGAATTTTTTTTTACATCAAAATCAGTAGTTAGCTGAGTAATTGTTGCGAACTTTAACTGCGCGTGCTCGATCGTTCAATCGGTTGCGCGCACATTGTATAACGAATTCGTTGTTTGTTTGTTTCGTCATAAGGTTTGTCGCACAGTTTTAAACATCGCTATGAAGTGGAATCGTTTAAACCGCTGCCTTGTCAATGGGCAAGTTAAAGAATATATTTAGTAAGAGGTGTGGTAAGACGGCCAGCTACAACTGCTGATAAATTTGGTTTGAAGTTACTAACAGTGATACTTTATTCTGCGCATGTTGCGTAAGGTTTTAAAATTCGTTAAAATCAATATGGCTTTTGTCTCCACAGGAAAGATTTAGAAAAAGAGCTTTGTAGGAGAATTAAAGTCATTAATGAACTTGAAGATCAAATATTGGAACTCTGGTAAGAAAATGTATAGCGGTTTTGTTTGATTAATTCAAAATTTGACTTTGACTTGACTCTATATGTTCATCCCTTTTCTTCTTTTAATTGGCTTATTCATTGTTGAATTTTTTAAGTATTTCTCTTTTAGTTATATTCAAATTTTATTGACTCGACTATTCCCTAAACATATTCATTTGTTCTTTTCGTTTAATGCAGTTACTTATTGATGCAATTCGTTTATTTTTTCAAGTGGAGTTTTTTCTAATTATCCTATATCAAGAGAGGATGATCTATATGGGTCTCTTCCAGTAATATATTTTATAATTTTCAGTTCATAGCTGAGCTATTTTAAGCGCGCTACCTGATTGGTCTAGTCAGGGCGCACTAGTCTATTCGAGTAAAGCCCCGATCAAACGGTCTCAACATGCTCTCAACATGTGTTGAGTCATGTTGAGAGATGTTGAGACCATGCCCGGTCAAACGGCCTCAACAACCTCTCAACATTTCAAGAACAAAAGAAATGTTGAGAGGTTGTTGAGATAGAGTTTAAATTAATTTAAACTCTTTTCACCATGTCTCAACACCTCTCAACATAGACTTTCCCAAAGTCCGTTTTTCGCGGTTTGGTGATTTTGGTTGAGAGGGGTGTCAAACGGCCTCAACATCGACTCTCAACAAACATTGCGACAAATGTTGTGTCGGAGCTTCTATCAGAAGAAAATAAAAATAACTTTCACAGCGCGTGGCGCGAAACTGGTAATATATTTCAAAAAACTATCATGGGGCACGAGAAATCCTTCTCTTAGATAATTCTCTCTTGTCTATATGGTCTTTATGTAGTAACCCACAACGATTAACTTCAGTTACTTGCTGTTGTTATCGTTGTGTAATTGATTATTATGACATTTCTATAAGTTTAAAATATATTCTCAGCCAGATCTTGTTAAGGATGATTTCCAGCCCGTTCTGCGCAATCTCCGCTGTAATGTTTATATGGGTCTCATACGAACAAATGTAAATACTAGCCAAAATAAAAATTCCGGGACAAACTTACCTTTTTCTTCATTATTAACGCCAGATATCCTTGCCAAACAATAATAACGAGTTGAAGAACCTCGGCGTTATCTCAAACCGACGTTTCAGCTCATCGAGCATTCCTATTGCACAACGACTCGTAATGGCGGACTCAAAAACTTCATGTAAGCTATCACCAAAGTGCAACACATCAACAAATTCAAAACAAAAATGAAAACAAACCCTGAGCATGCGCAGTACGGACTGTAAATCATCTTTAAGAAGAATCGTTTTCTTTTCAATATCTATTCATTGACATGTGTTATTTATACCAGGGAGAATGAGGAAGAATTGAGTTCCAGACGTGAAAGAGAAATACAATCATCGATAGCTGCAAAAGAACGATACAAGAAAGCTTCAAGAGACCGGCAGATGTTGATGAAGGAAGTTCAACTGTTGGAGATCAAACTCAAAAGAGCGCTTGAAAAAGCGGCTCGAGATCATGCAAAGAAAAATGTAAGTAGCATATATGACTAAGAGCCTAAGACAAAAGGCAATTTTTCAGTACTAGGACGCGCTTTCATCGCACCGAAACCGCGTCCAAAAACGCTGCATTCGTTTACACAGAGACCATGAATTCGTTTTCGCAGTAAGTTTGTTTTAAAACAACATTAAGCAACAATTTTCTTATAGATTTCTCTCCCAGGCTCGTGACTGGGAATACAAAACTTATTTTCGAGGCGACAAAGAAACACTAGCAAGACATCTTTTTCGAATGTGTCCTGGGCAAAGCTTTCTAGTTGTGAAATGTTTCAAATCATTTGAAGCGATGCTTTCATAACAAGGCGGTTTCCCTGTTTAACTAGATGAAACCGTGTCGTTTTAAAATATATGATACGGTTTCATAAGCGATACTGTTGACGACGTGTGGACGCAACGGCGTCGGAAACATTGCGGTTCAAAATTGAAACGTGTAAATGCAGCTTAGCTTTGTTTCGTTGACGTCACACGCGAGTGCTTTTGAGATTGTTACTAACATAACGTTACCAAATGAAACTCTTTTGCATTGGAACATACAGTTAATACATTTTCATGATTTTACTTAACCTGAATGCCAGTTGATTGTTTATCCTTTACAGTGAGCTTAAATTGCGAGTCAGAGAACTGAAAAAGCAGAAAGCAGCTATAGAACGTAAATGCGAGATGTTCTGGGAGATGACGTATTGTCTGGACCCGCGCGAAGAGAGGCGAGAATGGCGGGAAAACCTGCGTCGTACGCGTTCACAAAGTGACATGGTCAAAGCGGTACCACAGCCTCCAATAATAAAAGCGAGCCCAGGACAAGATTTACAGGCTCATAATTGGCTGGAGTGAAAGAACTCCTGCACATTCGGTGAACGTGGTAGCACGTGAATAAAATTAAAAAAGAATGAATTCTCGGTACTTGGTATTTTGTTGCCACCATTGAAAAATTTTCAGACATTTTAATTGCTGACAGATTGTGTTAACGTAAACTAAAATAAAAATGGTTGAAAGCATAATGTGAGAAACCCTCTCAATGTACCCAGTCGTTATTGTAC